CTGCAAAGAGCAATACTAGTTTTAACTTGTCTATAACTTGGCAAATGGCCATGGAATAAGCGGGATAATAAACGGCTTGCTGCGCATTAAAGGATTTTAGAAAAAATCAACACCACCATCTAGTGGACTGTAAAGAATTGATTTTATTACCCTACCAAATGGTATAATAAAAGATCGATACTTGGCATCAGTGTATCGATACAGTATTGCCGCAGAAAATATCGCGATACTATGCTGTATCGATTTTTTCCCCTTGAACTTATACAAAAAACTTTTGCATACCCTTCAGCAATTGGGGCATTTGAAAGTAAATTACAGTTCAATTTAAAATAAATAAAACAAGTCTCACATTAAAATAAAAATGTTACATTTAAATTAAACATAACGTGTACTCAAAGTAAACAATGTGCTACAATAGGTATACTATGCACTGCTGTGCTCTTTTTAGTATATAGCTCTTTTTTCGAGTATTTTACTTCATTTAATTTATTCCATGGTCTTTTGGAATTCTTGATTCTGATTGGCTGGCAGGTATGCATTAAAACCGTTTAATGCACAGGTAGTTCCAAGTCAGTTTAATCACCGTTCTATATTAATGCGACGCTGCTTTAATTGACACACAAACACACGCCACACACACACACACACACACACACACACACACACACACACAGAGATCGGAGATCTCGCTGCGCACACAGAAACATTCAGGAGTAGGCCAACATAAACTTGCCAACGCTGCCCCGCGACTTTTATTAATAAAACCGCTTCGATACTGGATCACTGCATTATATTCTTCAGCAACGAGGTGGTAAAATCTCTGTTTAAGTAACTAAACTCATTATTTGTAGTGAGAGACGCACAGACGCAAGTAATTCACACACACAACTGTCATCTTCCTCTCTCTCGAACAAACGATCGATAATTAATTCAAATGTTGTAATTCTGTAATTCTATAATTACTTCCTATAATTCTTCTGTAACTGACGAAAATAACCGCAATTTTTACCCATTCAGTCAAATATTGCGCTGCAAAGAGCAATACTAGTTTTAACTTGTCTATAACTTGGCAAATGGCCATGGAATAAGCGGGATAATAAACGGCTTGCTGCGCATTAAAGGATTTTAGAAAAAATCAACACCACCATCTAGTGGACTGTAAAGAATTGATTTTATTACCCTACCAAATGGTATAATAAAAGATCGATACTTGGCATCAGTGTATCGATACAGTATTGCCGCAGAAAATATCGCGATACTATGCTGTATCGATTTTTTCCCCCACCCCTAACTACTGAGCAAGCACATTTAGGCCACGATCAGACCAAATGCGTTTTTTGGGTCTGAAAACACGAGGCACACCGCACTGCCTTTTTTTTGGTGACTTGAAAAACCGTAGTACCTTCTTTTATTTTATTTTTTTTTTTTAAAGTTGTTAGGCAACCACCAAATCAGCTGTCCTGTCAGTCTAATCAAAGGATTATA